CGCTTCTGGTCCTTCCTCATCCCTGTGCGTGTCGCACACTTTCCAGAGTCCCGTGGAAGGGGCGGCCCGTCAGCAGATCTGTTACTCAGCCTCAGGCCCGCGGCCGGGTTGTGACTGTCTCTTACTCAGAATAGCCGGGGCTTATTCTGGGATACCAGGCGCTTCTCTGGTTTATCAAAATTTTATTTCCTCCAACTGAGCGAGCTCGGCAGAGAGTCAGCTGGCCTCTGGGTTTCATGTCCCGGTTGGTCCTCCTGGCCTCCCACACAGATTTAGATGCTGGTGACCACAGGGTTGCATTTAAAAACAAGACGGAACATTTCTGTACCGTCGCAGAGGCGAATGGGATTTAATTTGGCCTCCAAGGTGCTCCCTGGCTGGTTTGGGAGAGATGGTAAACCTAGGGCTGGAGGCCTGGGCTGGCAGGTGACAGGTGTGTGTATCTGTGGTAAAGTCAGAACGCTAAATACTTTTCCAGGGAGTCATTCTTAAATCTGAATTTGAATGAGGAAATTGAAGCCCTAAGAGGTGGAGCGACTTGTCCAGGTGACAGGCCTGGAATGGGGGGCGGAGCTGTCACTAAGACTGGGTCTCTTAGCCTGCATCCTCTGTTCACTCACTGTGGCAGGGAGGCCACGCCGGGGCAGGCCGTGACCTTGCGGCTGGGTGGAGGTGGGTGCCTCCCAGGCAGTTGTGGGACGTTGGACTGGCAGAGCAACCAGGATGGAAAACTCCAGAGATGGGGTCACTGCATGGATTACATAGGGGTGACTCTAAACTACACAGCACCTACCCAAACTTCTTGGGGTGAAATAGGCAATATTTGCAAATTAATGCCTTTGTCCTAAACAGCCCCATGATAAACGACTAGGTAGAGGATCTGTAACATTTTAAGAGCACCTCTCACTAGCCCATACCTGCCCAGGTATTGTGAAAACCCCTGTGTGCTTTCTTTAGTGTCAAAACTGTGAAGACACTGCCCGCTTGCTAGAGTTTTTGAGTTATTTGGGTGCTTGTATTCCAGTTTCTAAGTGACCTTGCTTTTTAAAACACTAATGGATAGGGGATGGAAAGAACACTATGCCAGTGCTTTATTTTGCTGCATTTTTCGAAGAGGGTGTATAGTTTCAGAATGGGAACTCAGTCTGATTAGCTGCCAGTAAGGACACCTGATTATAAAGTCTCAGGAAAGACTTTAAATGCTAGGCTGTTGTTAGCTGAAAGTGTGTGTATAACTTTGAGTGACCTCAGGGCTGTGATGAAAGGCTATAGACTGTACCTAGGAGACCCTGGGAACAGAGTTTTGTTAAAGATTCGCATATCCGCTGTCTGCATTACCGTGCACAGGGCTGGGATGTGGTGGGGGCCTCCCACTGGCAGTGGTGGAACCCTGGACTAGGATCAGAACAAGTGCTTCAGTGGGTCATCGGAGCAAGGGGCCCAAAGGGGCATGGTAGAGGTAAGGGGGAAACAAGGGGGCTGGAGGAGGCAGAGCAAGACCCAAGTCTGATTTTTCACGGTTCCTGGGTCATGTCAGTTTTGTCCTTGTGGGGTGCAGACCCTTCAACAGCATTGGGAATGAAAGAGTGTTCTTGGAGAGTACCCCCTGAGAAAGACCAAAGGGGTAGGAAGCAGAATGGGCCAGGAAGGCCTGTAGACCATGGTGCAGACGCAACACCCAGACAGGAAGGGGAGGCGGCGGCCGTTTGGGCAGAGAACCGTGCGGGTCTGACCAGGCCCTGGCAGCTGCCTGGGGTGCCCAGAGCAGACCGGCTGTTAAAGGAGTCCCGAGTCAGGCGGAGGTGGCCAGTCCCTCGTCCTGTGGCTGGGTCAGTCCTTGCTGGAGGCTGCCTGGGAGGAATGTGCCCTTCAGCTCAGAGGCCAAGCTGAGTCTTGGTGGCACTAACAGCTGGAGGTGTCAGCTAACGGCAGCCCTTGCAGCTGAACGCCAAGTTCTTTTCTCGAATAGAGATCCAGGCAGCACACCTCGTGGCTGACTCCCATGGGACCTCAGTTGCTTGGACGGGGAGGGGCTATTTAAAGGGCAGATGAGGTAAAATCCCCATCTCAAATCCTGCCCTACCCCCGCCCCCGCCCTTTGTGGAGTCTGCCGTCCTCTTGAGTTGAGTCATCATGACTTACTGTGGTATCAGAGGATGGACAAGAGAAATAGACCAAGTAAAAGACTTGATCATTTGTGTGAATGAGGGCAGCTGTAATCAGAACGTGTTGATGACCATATCTCTTACCTCCTGGAAGGTCCCAGTTAACGATCCTTCCGTTTCCAGGCAGGTTGTCAGTGCCTGCATTGTCAGAGAGGGTTGCCATGTACAGTTGTGCAGGTTGTGCACTGTTCAAAGGAATAAAGCAATGAGTGGGCCCAGGTGGGGTTGTAGCAATCCAGAGGAAGGGGTGCCATTTTGCAGTTTTGCCTTTGTATGGTCATGCAAAGGTGCCCAGTATTTTAAAGGAGGCCTCAGTAGAAGGTGAGCTTAGAAGGCTTTTCCCAGCCTCACTGCTAGCTGCTAGCTGCTTACTATTTGCTTTAAATTTGCATTCACGTGTTTAAAAAATGGATACAAACCACAAGACACAAAGTAAAAGCTTCTACCCGTACTCCTTCAGGTACCACTCTGGATTAGTTATAGTTAATGCTAACTGTGGTTAAAGATGAATCCCAAAATGGCCTCTTAAGACAGTAAAAGTTGCTTTCTCCCCGTTGGGGAGTTGCGAGCTGTCCGGGGAGTGGTATGATTGTTGAAGACTCAGGCTGGTGAACGTCCACCTTCAGTGTCTGGCTCCCCAGCTGGCAGTCAGGAGAAGGGAGAGGGCGCGGAGCATCCCGCAGGAATTGTAGGGCCGCCCGGAAGTGGTGCCCATCCTTCCTGCCCCTCCCTCTGGCCAGACTCTGCCTGGGTGCTGAGGGCTGGGAGGAGGGCCAAGCAGAGGGCAGCACGGATGTGATACCCATGCTCAGCCACATTTGTGTCAATATTTTCTTATGTTAGTCAGAAGAAGTGAAAGGCATGTATGTAGTTTACAGCCATGAACCCACGACTTAGATTCAACGATTAACACTTCACTATGTTTGCTTTTCTCCTTATTTTTATCCTACTGTCCATCTGTCAGTCCCTCTTATTTTTTAATGCATTTCAACGAAATGGTGGTTATCTCTGTAATTCAACCTGATGTGCTGTACCTCTGCTGCTTTCTTGATTTATTAGCTTTCAAGGCTGTCTACCAACCCTCACTGTGAAAGCTGAGGGATTAAGTGCATTTTTACTGCTCTATTCCTCCCCTCCCCGATTCCTGCAAGTCATACTTAAATTTTCTAAATCTGTTAGTGGAGTAATATGTTAATGGTGGAATACAGGTCTTGGGTGTACAGTTGTTCACTGTGAAATTCTTTTAACTTTGCTATGTGAAATTTTCATTCAGAAAACTTTAAAATGGGCTACCTGGACACACAGGCTCTGAAGCACAAGGCGAACACGGCAGTGTTTGTATGTGAGAAGCTAATTGTGTAGTAGGTGGTGAGTCTGTAGCTGTGCTGCGCCCTTAGCAAGATCCAGTTTAATTCAAGGTGATCTTCTGTGTACAAGAGTATAAACTTTTTTTGTGCTTTTATTTTTCAGTTGTGAGAACAACTTATTGGTATGTTCAACAGATTTAGGTGTGCAGAGACATGGATAAATCACTGATATATACCTTAGAAAGAATGCTTAAAAAGAACTTTAAAAATTCTAAGGAAATCTCTTGTTTATCACCTGTCTTTCTTGACTAGCCAGCTTTAAACAGAGCCCTTGGGGAGGTGAATGAGGGTGTACCATCCCTAAGCTTCTCCTGCCTTTTCGCTACATCCTCTGTACCCTGCTGTTGGTCTACCTCTGAAATTCTACATGGCTAGAATGTTCTGTTTCATAATCAGTATTATTGAAATCTTCTGTGTGTTGTTTTAGGTTGATTCTAAAAATTGAAAACCAATCAGCATTTAAAGTATTAGGGTCCCATGTATATAATGTCCTGGAGAACCAGGGAGTGCCTTTAGATGCAGAGAAAAAGACATGTGCTCTCACGTCGCTTAACTTGTCCTCTGTGACAGACAATATTACTTTAAAACGGAAAAAGAAGGAGTAAAGAGTTTGGAAAAGAGTTGGTACAAGTATTATAGTTATTTGCTTTAAAAATTGCCTTAACATTGTTACCCTGTTGTACAGCTTCTCAATTTTACAAATTGCTCTAGAGAATTCATTTTCTTCTTGGAGCTAGAAAGGGTGATGGTTGAGAGTTCGGGCTCTGGAGGCAGATGCCATTTTTGTCACAGGTGGCTCTGAGACTTTGGGCGAGAGATTCAAGCTCCTGGAACCATCGGTGTTTCCGCCGAGCAAAGAGGGTAGGGGTGCAGCCTGCCTCGGAGGGCTGCCGGGGTCGTTCCCAGATTGAGACACACGGTGGGTCAGAATGAGCCGCGCCCTGACGCTTTCGTTGCTACTGTTCCCCGCCTTCCGACTTGGCCTTTAGGTTTGAACTCGGTTGCCTCTGGTCCTGTCTCGCTCTTGGGAGAGCTCACTACTTCTTGAATCCTTTTTCTCCTTTTGCATTCCCTTTGCTTTGGTTGGAGTATTTTCTGTGATTCCCTGTCACCACACTTTTCCATAGTCTACCACTTCTGTATTCACCTTCTTCGTTTTCCTGTTGACTTTTACAATGTCATCACTTGTATTTTCTATTTCCTCTGTTTTGTCTTATTCTGGAAGTTTGGGGCTTGGGGGTAAGTTGGGGGTGGGAGGAGTTGGTTGGGGGCTTGAGCAAATGAATTAATGGCCTCTGTTGTCGTTAATTTTGAATTTTAAGGACTCATCAGAGTTTTTACAATATTCGCAAGGAAGAGAATGTAGCATGCGTTTTTCTCAGATGTATCTTGTTCCACAGAAGAGTTTCAGATGCTTTGGAAAATGCACCCTTTTAGGATTAAGAAGATGTGTGTATCGAAGATCAATGATAACACATAGTAAAAAAATATAAGTAATAGCAGATGTCTGTGGATAATGGATGTGAACGGGTTAAACTCATTTTAAAAAAGGAGCCTCCTCCTCTAGATTAAATCAGAAAACGATGTTTGAATGATCCAGAAAAGCATATTCAGATGTTCCTTTGATTTTTTTAAATTAAGTCAACGACAGTTGTGAATAATAAAAACCTGTTTTTTTTTAAGCTTTCAGGTTCAGCACCTTGTTATTGTATTTATAAGTTCAGAGAAATTTAGTAATCATTGCTTAAGGAGATCTTTGATTAATATTCGATCCCATTTATAAACTTAGTTAATAAATTTTAAATATTTTAAATTGTGTTTATTAATGTAGTATGTGTAGGTTCCTGTTAGAGTCCTACTGACAAACAAGTCTGGTTTTTAAAAGTCTTATAAATTTAGTAATGACTCTTAAAAACCTGGTGATTCAGTCCTCTTATGCATTCCAGGACACTCACGTGTTGTCTCTGCATGTGAAAGTAGGTGCACACTTTCAATTAATGACACAGCTTAAGTTGGAATCGTGAGGCTGAGCTGCAGCTCTCAGTGGGTCCAATTCTCTTAAACATCAAGCACGTAATTCCAAAGTGTAGGTGTTTCTTAATACGTGATGCTATTACTACTTGTTTAATTCTTTTGAAAATTTCTTTACATGATTCTAAACCTTTGTCAAATTAAAAGACGTATGAGTAAGTGTTTTATTCCAAATAATAAACAGTATTGGCTCTTATCCCATACGATTTAGGGGCTGCCTTCTCAGCCTGCTGAGGTTTTTAACAGAGC